ACAGTCTGTCTGACCATAAAAGTTTTTTTCACTTAGTCGGTCTGATACGACAAGTGGTTTATCTACTTAATCTAATTACGTTTAAGTCTGACTACCTATGCCTTTATCTACTGACTTAAATGCTTAACCTGTTTAAAAGCTTAACCAGTTATTATTTAAACATTTATTATTTTCTTTAAATTACCGCACAAATAGAACGTTTAACGTGAAACAAATCACATTTAATTTTTAGATAAGTGCGACTGTCGGCGCGGTGGTTCGAAGTACAGCATAAAACTGAATATTTTTCGGCTGTGGTAAAATCGCAATCTGGCAGTTACATCGTGCAAACAGTGACTCGCGATACGATGGTTTTTAATATAAATTTTGAGGAATGCGTGGTCATGTGTGGAAGATATGAAATACCGTCGCCGGCGTATGTACACGTTCACGCTCTTTCGCCACCATAAACATTACGTGCGCATCACGTCCAGACAAATATTTCTTTCACTCCGAACGCAATATTATTCTGCATTTTTTGTTCGATCTAAAAAAATATATAAATTCAATTCACCGCGCGTATACGCGGAGCGATACCGCTGCCGGGGGCTTGCGATTTTATCGCTTGTTAAATTAAACGCCGACGTGTCGTAAAGATGATCGGCGCAATAAATCTCGAGTATAAACGCAGGTCGATGCTTCATCGTGTCGCGTACGATAATTTCTTCTCCGAAACTTTCACATCCTGACAGATTGGAAGCGGCAAAAGTAATCACTCGAGCATTTTATTATCTTATTAGCTATAATCGGCGACGAGATATACCGCAATTTCGTTGAAACTCGATAACAAAAAAGATTCTAATGACTCATCGTCTCACCCTGAGTTGTGCATACGTCCGTGATACGCTCCACATTTTTCTACATAGTAATCATAGTATCTGCTATAAAAGCTCTTTAATAAGGTCATTAGTCAGGGAAAGCTTGTAGTATAATTACACGTGTCTATTATCTACTTTCCGCTTCTTGCTGCAGGCGTTACGGCGATTCGCCTGTTTCGCGGAGCTCAGAATCTGGCTCGCAGATGAAGAGCCGGCATTAGGGGTTTACGAGGCGAACACTCCGAGGGTGGTTCGGCGAGACGTTCGCGGTGCCGGCGAGTGGATTGGGTAAAGGTCGGCGGGGGCGGTGAGGGGGGTGGTTATAAGAGGTGAGAATTATTCATAAACGTAGGCTGACTTTTCGTGGCGGAAGAGAGAGAGAGAGAGAGAGAGAGAGAGAGAGAGAGAGAGAGAGAGAGAGAGAGAGAGGAGAGGCGCGCGAGTGGGAGGGAAGAAACGGGCGTAGATTTCTCTCGCTGTTCCCGAGAAGCTGAAATCTACCGAATATTAAGGCAGGTGAAGGGTGACGGGGAAGGTGGGCAGGGCAAGGTCCTCCAGGCCGCATAATAAACACATAACGGTAATCCTTAAAACAATAATTAGCTGCGCGGGCCAACCCAAGAGGCGACGATCTTACGGCGCCGCGCGGAATGGCGCCGCTTTCGCAATTCGTTGTCGAATTAATACGGGGGACTCGCGACAGTGTAGCGCTACTCACCCACACCGTGACCGCATTATGCGGCAGGAATTGTACTTACTTCCTATAGCGATTATCCGCGGGGAGTGTCGTCGCTGTTTTGGGGAGGCGAGCAAACCGTTATATCGTGGCTAAACTGTTGTTATTTACTGCTTTATGAGCACGTCTAATACACTCTCGTAAAGTAGTACGATTTTTAAGGACTTTGATAACCCACGATAGAGTGACTATTTTACTCACATTATAAGATTGTGTCGATTATGTAATATAGAAAAACAATAGGTCAAAAAGTTCTATTTTAGCATCAAAAACTTTAAATCGTCAAAAAATAAGTCTTTGCCATTCGAGTATTATCAGAATAGTAAGATGTCAGTAGATAAAGACTGATCAGACATAAATATAAGTAGATTACTACTGATTGTATCAAAAATTTCAAAAACGCTGCAAAATTTAAAGTTGATTTATACACAGAATGTTCCAAAATGTAATATTTCACGAAATAATACTTTGATTAGTAAAAAAAAACTGTTGTAACAAAACTCTGAATAATTTATTAATTTTTCATCTAGGATTTTTTAATTAGCAAATTTCACGATTTATGCTATATTTTAATTTAAATGTTTGCAAAATGATGTATATACATGAAAATCAACAATTTTTATGTGTGTATATTAGATTCAATATAAAAACAAACTTATGGAAATAATTTTCCTGTATTCTTATTGATAGAAATTGCGTGAATATACGCTTTACAAACCAAAGTATCTTCGTCGTTGATCTGATGAGACCAAGGATGAGACGAAAACTTGCACATTTACATTTCGCGCATCTTTTCTCTCGGTGGTGCAAACGAAACTGCCAGATTCTTTGATCCTCAGGGATGCTGAAAACATCCGAGGAGGACGAAAAAGTCTCCCAAAGATGAGAGAGTCGTGCGGGGATCTGTCGGGAAGGGTACAAAAAGGAGCTCGGAATGAAACGGGGTGAGACCGAAGGGGTGCCGCGAAGTGGTAATAGTTTTAATCCGGTGTCTTGAAGTCAGGATTTGGCGGCGCGGCAGTTAGTGGCTGCCAGTAAGTCCAGGCGAACCCACTTCGCGCTCTGATATCATAATCCGAATAATCACTATTATTGCCGCCATTTGCTTAATCCGAAGCCCGTCCTCCCCGCTCCGCCGCGGGTCGCAAGCTGCGGGACCTGTTATTCGGTTTCAGAACGAGAACGATGAGGACGTCGAGCGTCTTATCGAAAGTTGCCTTTTGCATCTTTAAATCTCTTCAATTATTTCGACGCTCTGGAACGAGAACGACCAAGTCTAAACCAAGTCTGCGATTCGAAAATTACTGGACTGGACAAATATCTGTTCTATTCGCGGAGCTTACTTTTTCTAATTAGTGGACATTGACCTACTTCATGTAATGATAATAATTTATTAATTCTATCGAGTAATTCTTAATGCATAAGTAATTTAAAAAATGAAATTGTAAGTTATTAATGTCTCGCGCAAAAGCAAAAACTATACGTTCTTATAATACGATTAATTTTCAAAGTTAATACATAGTACACTTTTTCTGTGTCTAATAATCTTTGACCTTCTCTAATATTCTCCTGGATCGGTCTAATCCTTGTATCGCGTATCTATAGTTACTTGAAATCGCGAGATGATAACACGCTCGAAGTTTCAGGCCATTGGCGAGGTCACGCCGCTGGGTCTACCGGAAGTTTCGCCGGCAATAACGCATAAACTTCATTTAGCCTTATTTAAGCTGACTGGAAGGTGGCAGACATTAAATCCCCGAGATTCGTTCTAATGGCCGCGACTCACTCAGAAACTGCTCCGCGCGATCTTTCGCGCGGTGTGCGCGCATAATGCGTCGTGCGTTCTTAATAAATTCGCTCGAATCCGGGCAGGCCGGGCGAAATCGCCCTAAGTGAAACGACGAAAAAACTTTAGCGCAAACTGCCGCTCTTAATCTGGACAGTTTGTTTAGCGGCGCGCGGCGGTCGGTTGTTCCTCTCTGCCTTGCTTTCCTCTTTCTCCCTCCCTCTTTTTCGCGTTGCCCTCGCTTTCCCTTTCCCTCTCGAGAAATAAGCGGTTCGTTCGCTTCCGGAAAAAGTTCGGAATTACGAATTAGCAGGAAGTCGGGGAAGGTACCTGCATTTATTCTGAATTCAGCTTATTATGAAATTATAATGCGTGGGACGACTTAAAACGAGTCGGTTACCCCTTTCACGTTTATTCCGCCGGTGGATTAAGAGTCATCGTATTTCGCTATTAATTATACGCTTAATTCAGAGGCGAGTTTTTAGTTGTGGGCGATACCTATACCTTTATCTCGAAATATTTTGTAAGTCTCGTATTACGATACTCTAAAAAACTCCAAAAATTTATTTTGCTTAAAATCATCAACATATATGTCAACATTACTTTAGTTAGATATGTTTTATAATTGCTTAGCTCTCTTTGTGACTTGTGACTGTATTATATGAGATTGTGATTCTATCACTGACGAACAAGGTATAATAGCGCGATATTACAGAATGGACATTAGGCACGGATGCACGAAGGACGTTCAGGATACTGATCGACTACGATCGACTGCACCGTGATCCAGCGACGCGCGAGCGCGTGTAATCTCCAACGGCGCCCGTAATTGCGCGACGTTCTAATCGCCCGAAAGATTACGACCGGGGGTCGGAGCGCAAACGGGACCGGGGGCGGCGGCGGCGGTGGTGGCACACACTACCGGGTAATGTTACGCGAGACAGTAGTCTCGGGTGGCATGTGTCGTTGATGAGGCGGTTAGTATTCAGCGGTGCTTCCCGGCCCCCCGGAACTTTTGAAAACTAACCGAGTAAAGCCACCTTAATTCCATAAGAGGGAGGCCGAAGGGGTTCCCCGGGCGTCACCGTAACACCCTCTTAATTACAGGATATTAGGACGCCTACGGGAGACGCGGCGACGGCGCGCGGAGGGAAGGCAGATAGCGCGATTTATTATCCGCCGCTAACCTTATCTCCGTTTTTACGAGTCAGACTTTCTTGGTGCGCGTTTTCTTTCCGGATGGTGTGATTCGGCATGCAAGGGGCACCGAAATGAGACACCGATCGTCGACATCGGTCGCTCCGGTGTTGCTAATAATTTAATTATTTTGTCGCATTCCCGTGAATACTCGGAGAAACCGTTAACAAATACATTTCAACTAATATGCTTTACAAACTTTTTAAAAGATCTGAAGATGTATATGTGATTAAGAACAAATTGCTGTGGTTCACTTACATAATTGTTTTATCGTGACATGATTATCCGTATTAAGATCTTACTTTTATGTGAATTAAGACTTAGATAAGCAAGTCTTTCTTTATTGCTTGCATAATATTCAAACGCAATTTTCATAGAGGCAATACAGAAATTTCCAAGATTAATGTATACATTGTATACTCACGTGCAAAGAATCTCTTCTTTGCCGCCTTCGTAAACGGCATCCTTGCCCCATCGTTTCGGCAATTCCATGAGAGCGATGCCCAACTTGCCCCATAGTGCCAGTTGCGTTGCTGTCTCGTTTATCAGTACGTTTGTGACCTCAAATATCGGCGGATCTGTTGGTTGTAGGGTCTATAAAGAATAAAAAGTAAAAAATATTATTAGTACGTGGTCATAAATATTATTTCATCCTAATAACATTACCGTTTATAATTTTGCTAATGCGATATAAAGAATTGAAGTTAAGATTTCCCGATTTCAAATTTTAGTTGCCTATAAAGATCTATGAAGAAATCACTTTTAATAAAGATACAAACGCGAGAGAGATACACGTGAGATTAACAGATATCTTGTCACAGGTAGAATTGCATCTCGTTTCTGTAACGTGGATACGTCCTCGTGCATCCGTAAGATAAAGACTTCCGAATGAAGATCTCATCACACAGCTGGGACCGCGCTTTCATTAATTAAAATTCTAAGAAGGCAGGCGAAGCGAGAAAGAAAAGTAGTATGTCGCCGATCCCGAAAGCGTTCTTGCGCGAGGTATAAATTCATTATTACACGAGCCAGTAAGCACGCCGCAGGATTCCTCGCCCGATCGCGCCGTTTTCTTTTTGGACCCTTCCTCCCTTTCCTTTTTTCCACCCTCCCCCACCCGTCTGTCTACCTATCTACCCGCGAGATATCTTACCCGTCCCATTGCTCCTCCCGCTTTCCGAGACGCGCATCGTCTATCGATTAAAAACTTTATAATACGATCCCGCTCCTCGTTTGTTTTCCAGTTTGATTTTTATCGTGCTGTCCCGGGAAAAAGGCAGGTGCGCAACGTCGCCCGCTCTTTTCCCCCATCGCCAAACCTCCTGATACCTCTTCGACGTTCTTCTCCGCCACCCCCGTCGTTCCACCTCCTTGCCCCGATATTTAATTTCGAACTAAGTTCGCCAACGCGAACATCATTACGAGGCGGCATCCCCGCAGGTGGGGTATCGGCGTGTATCAAGGGGCAATTACTTTTTTTCCTACCCAGAGGCTGGTTATTCCCCGGGTTTCTCCGATAGGGGAGACTTCTTCGTCTCGATATATCGGGTATCGTGTCTCGCGTTCGACGTGGCCTCGCGAAAGCGCAGACGAAGCAAACGAAATAAACTTGCGCGAGGTATGTCGTGGATCTTTAAAGTAAAAATATTTTTAAAGGTATAGGTATAATGTGTGTGTGGAGATACATTCTAACAAAATTTTATTTCTTTCGAAACTTATGCTTACCAAGAATCATTGCGTCACTAAATCATTCAACAACTATACTCTTTTTCGCATCGCGAATAAAATGATATAATATAAAATTCAATTAAATCATGTTTTTCTTTTAAAATTAGCAAAGGACTATATTGATGAGTATATTGATTTATATGATCGACAGAAAATCGAATTAACATTGCGATAGCGTAAAAACGTATTCACGCGGTGGTTCATCCAGGACACTCCGGTGGCGGCGAGGGGTAAGGGTTGGTTGAAAGCCAGGGCGCAGTAAAGGGTGTCGGACGATGGTACGCGCGGAAGCGACGGCACCGGAGTATGAGCAGGAAAATGGAAGGGTATAAAAGGGGTGGTGAAGAGCGGGAGGAAGGGGGAGAACGGGATTCCCGAGTACCGATGCCGACACACCGGCGCGCGAGGCTGTAATGCGTTATTAATGAACACCAAGAATTTCATTAAAGATTGTTTGTATATCAAACTGTCCACTAAATTATGCCCTATAACCCCCGTGGCGCCTTCACGCGCCTGGAAACTATTGGCTGCCGCAATGGTGTTGCCTTTTCCCAAGTCCCGCGTAGCATTGATAACCCGCGAGGCAGGCAAAAGCCACAATCGCCGCGGTAAAAAGCGAACAGGCTGCTTTTTATCATAGATATCGGTCGCGCTCATCGCGCGTTTTTTCCCTGACTGATTCACGATTCGCTCGATCGGCCGACAACGCTCGCAAAATTCGTCGTCCGTCGAAGTCAGTTATTTCGCGACCTTTGGGACATACATTATTAGGAGGGACGATATAGGTAGTTGGGACGTGGCGCGTGCGACGAGAAGCAAGAAGGACGATATGTATGTGGAGAACAAGAGAGAAAGAGAACAAGGGTTGTGAGGGCGGGCGGATGAACGGCGAAAAGGCAGAGAGAGATAGAGAGAGTGAAGAGGGTAGGGCACGGATGGTGCGTGGGTGGAGGGATACAGTTAATCGTTGGGAAGCTATTAACTTCGGACTGGAATGCCCCATAGCGCCTCATTTCGTTCAATGCAAATTTATACCCGACGCCAACCACCTAGCGCGCGCTCTTCGTTCTCTTTCGGCCGCGAAAACCCGAACTGGAAAACGAATGTGGTGCTCTATCAGCGATAATTCTTTTTTTTTTTCGCAACATCGGTTTTGGATATAGTTCTAGTGAATGAAGAAAGATCGGGTATATGCAGCAATGAAAATATAAATTGAAAATGGCAAAAGTATGTATAATATAACTCTAAAATAAACTGAACAATTTTTAAGTTCAATAAACATCCAACATAGATACGTTCAAAACAGATATGCATATAAAAGTGTTATACTAATTTCTTAAAAATTATGAAATGTTCAAGGAACTTGAAATATTTTGTAATTTGTAAAAATAAAAAAACACAATCGACATGAATACTATGTAATTGATACACAAAAGTGAAAAATATATATATCTGGGTGAAATCTTCGCGAGCTTAATAGGGATCAGGACGGCGAGGAAGATTCAGCTTCTTCAACTTATCCAATTTGGTTGTCTCCTATCCTTGTAGACAATCAACGTCGTAATCGGTGACCCGGTTCGCAGCATCATGAAACTTGGACCCTTCTGCTTCCATCGCTGCCTCTACCTCTTTCTCCCTCCCTCTTTTCCCCCGATCGTACCACCGTGGTGTTGCCTTATTAGTTTAGAACTTAGGTTTACCGTAAAGTCGCGCGTGTCACTTATGATCAAAGTCTGCTTGCCAGACGACGAGTCTGAATTTCGCTTTTCGTCGAATTGAATGTCTTAGGAGACCAAGGAGAATTCCAGATTGTATTTGTGATAACCGTCGATTCTCGTGCGAGGTCTTTACCACTTTATACATATATATGCATATATATAATTTCTCAGTCAAATATATTTATTGGTGAAATGCTGTAAACAGAATTAAGTATTTATTTAAGTCGGTGCGCATGCGAATATTTCGACTAATGTCTGGAGAAAGGCGCACGATTTTTGGCGATGTATTCCTTTCGCATTGTAGCATTTAGTTGGTGTTTGCTCGACACAAACATCGGTCCAAGACAAATCCCGGACGCGGATTGTCACAGCCGGCCGAAATATCGCGCTGGGTGCGCGCGACTTAACGCGCGAAATTGCGCGCGTACGGCGAAGCGGGTCTGACAAATGGCGATGTAACGGGTGCTCAAGATACACATAGTTAACAGCGAGATGCGGCGCGGGTTGACTAACGACGTCGGGCGTTCTCGCGCTATATAATTTCAAAACACACGCGGGCACGCGGCCGAAATGTCGCGTGTAGAGCGGGGGACGGGGACGCGGAGGGTTGACCCCGACGTGCGAACATTGCGAGCGCCATGACAGCGCCTTAATATGAACAAATGCCGGACTATATCTCAGCTTGGGTTTGCTTTGCATTATTCGACTAACGTCCTCGTTTGCCATCCTTACGTAGGTGCCTTACATTATGACGACCGCTCTTCGCGCGGAATGGCTGTATGCTTCTCTTTTCGCAGTAACGCGCGTATTACCGAATGTGAATTGATACAAATGCAAGGGGGGTGCGTGTCACTCGCGTGGCGACGCGACGTCCGGATATATATGTCTCCAAAGTTGGGAACTAGGGGCGCGTCTCCTATAAAATAATATATATTTCACGATAATGATAACGCACGCGGTACATTATGCTTTTATCAATTTGCGTGACTACGTGATATGTATAACGACGTTACTGTAGACGCGTGTTTATATCAACAAGTAAAATTATCATTATCGATTGGATAATAGTTCTGTTGCTCGACTCCTCATCAGCGAATAATTTCTCGTTTCATTTTACAGCGTATTAAAAAGACGGAAAAGGAAGAGATTCGAGAAGGCGAGGGAAAACGTTTAGAGAACGAGTCAAGAAGGGAGGCTAGCTCGGGATATAAGTCGGATTTTAAGAAACCGTGACAAGACTCGAGATGTCTATCCGACTGGTGCTTAGCGAGAGTTCGCGCAACGGCGATGTTAATGGGTCCCCGCTTTCGCAGGGGGGAAAAAGAAAGAAAAAAAAGAAAGCGAAGATACAGAAGGAGAAAGACGGAGGAGCGGAGGAGTGCGCGGCGGGGACCAGGGAATGGATGTGTTCACATTATACCCTCTGTTCTTTTAATTTCTTCAAAGGACCCAACCCCGCGACACCTCGAGCATCCTCGGCGAAGCTTGCAGCCTTCACCCCCTCACCCTCGCCTCCGGATTAATAAGGCGTCGACAATATAACGTCTTTTTTTTCTCTCCGCGCCCCCGAACGGGATGGCAGACAGCTACCTAAAGTGAATGAAGGCTCTCGGTAAGAGGAAAAGCAACAGGGAGGATACTCTCTTACCGGTACTTAACGGCGGGATGAGTCGAGCTGCCGTTAATAAATGTGTTTCTAACAGTGGAAGAGAGAAAGAGAAAGAGAGAAAGTGGGAGGGGACAGGAACAACAGTGCGGAACATGGCACTCTCTCGTTAGGCTCTGCCGACGACGACCCCGAGGAATACGTCTTAACGAGGAGAAAACTTTTAAATGCGCGGAAGCGTCGTTCATCGACGTCGAAACCGGTCTCGTCTCGCTGCCTCTTTGTCGTGTCAACCTCAGCAAACGCGGGATCAATTGACGATTATTAATCGAGTCACGTGAGCCGCATTTCAGAAAGCAAACACAGATGAAATACAAATATGCATTAATCTCTTGCTGTTAAAAAGATTTTTGAGATGTAATAACTGTAGTTTTATATTAAATTTAAAACAATACACTCTCTACATATATAATGTGAATATATAAACAATTATTTTTCAAATATTTCCAGATATTCGTAGTCAAAAAGTACCGGGATAAAAT